ATATGTAATTATATATTATAATAGAAATTCTATATATATATATGTGTGTGTGTGTGTGTGTGTTGTTGTTGTTGTTAAGTGCCATCAACTTGGTTCTAACTCTGTGTAGGGTTTTTGATGAGCAGCTGGTGAGTTTGAACCACTGACCTTGCAGCTCAAACCAACTTTATGGTCTAGTGCTTATCACATGTATTTATCTGTGTATGTATTTATATATTTATGTTCATATATTTGTTGTTAGATACTGTTGAGTTGGTTCTGACTCATCATGACCCTATGCACAATAGAGCAAAACACTGCCCGATCCTGTACCATCCTCAAAATTTTTTTTTTACACTTGAGCCCATTGCCACTGCCGCTGTGCCAGTCCATGTTCTTTGGGGTCTTCATCCTTTTCGCAGACCATCCACTTTAACCAAACCTGATGTCCTTCTCCATGAGCCTGCTCCCTTCTGATAATATTTCCAAAGCACAGAGAAAACGTCTCACCAGCCTTGTTTCTAAGACGCATTCTGACTGTACTTCTGACACATTTGTTTTCGCCTCTTCCAGCAGCCTAGGGTGCTTTTAATATTCTCCTCCAATGCCATAACTCAAATGTATTACTTCTTCTCTGGTCTTCCTTATTCATTGTCCAACTTTCACAGGCATTTGAGGCTGTTAAAATACCATGGATTGGGTCTGGCTCACCTTAGTCCTCAAATTGACATCTTTGCTCTTAAACACTTTAAAGTGGTCTTGTGCAGCAAATTTGCCTAATGCAATATGTCACTTAATTTCTTGACTGCTGCTTCCGTGAGTGTTGAGAGTGGATCTAAGGAAAATGAAGTCTTTGACAACTTCAACCTTTTCTCCATTTATCATGATGTATTTATTAGTAGTGAGGATTTTTGTTTTCTTTACATTGAGGTACAACCCATTCTGAAGGTTGTGGTCTTTGATGTTTGTAAGTAAGTATTTTAAGTCCTCTTTGCTTTCAGCAAACAAGATTGTATCATCTCCATTTCACAGTTTGTTAATGAGTCTTCCTCCAATCCTGATGGCACATTCTTCTTCATACAATCCAGTTTCTAGGATTATTTGCTCAGTGTGCAGAGTGAATAAATTTGGTGAAAGAATACCACCCTGATGCACACCTTTCCTATGGTCTTCCTTATTCATTGTCCAACTTTCACATTGTTGTTATTAAGTGCCATTGAGTCAGTTCCAACCCATAGCAACACTGTATAGGGTTTCCAAGGAGTGGCTGGTGAACTTAAACTGCTGACCTTGTGGTTCAAACTGACATTGCAGTCCAGTGCAGTATCCCACAGTACTACACCAGGACTCCTAACTTTCACATGTGTATATTTTATATATATATATTTGTTGTTTTTAAGTGCTATCAAGTCAGTTCTGACTCACAGCGAGCCTGAATAGGGTTTCCAAGGTCATAAGCATTTGCAGAAGCAGAAAGCCTCATCTTTCTGCTGGTGGCCTCTAACTGGTGGCCTTGTGGTTCACAATCCAGTGCTTATCCTACAGAACCACTGTATAGAGATAGAGACTGAGAGATAAAGAAGAGAATCTTCATTATATCTTAAAAGAGATGGGCTTTTCTTAATTACCATTTTATGCATGAGGTACCTAAAGCTCAAGATGATAGGTAGTTTGCTCATGACCCCACAGCCAATATAAGAATGGAGTTGTGAACCCAGGACTATTGACTTCGAAGTCCACAGTGTAAGCACCTGTGTATTGGGTGAATCCATGGATGACTCCGAGAATGTTGCATGCCCTGTATCTTCTTCTCTCATGGTTCCACATTCTCTTTCCCTAGATTGAGCCATACATGCCATTTGAATTCACATGTGAGGGGATGCTGCAGAGAATCAACGCTTTCATCGAAAACCAGGTAAGGCTCTTCAAAAGTCAGTCTGTCTTTGCTCTGTCCTCCTCCTTGCTAACTCAGAAGGTTCTCGACAACAGTTTGGAGCTCACCACAGTTATGTGCTCTTTTTCCTGCTTTGGAAGACTATCAAAGCCAACTAATGGCTTGTTGGATTTCTAAAGCCTGCCCTCTCCTGGTCACCCAAAGGCATCAGTTTTTCCCTGGGGTAACTTGGTAATTTAGTTCTTTCTTGTTGTTGTTGTTAAGTACGGTGGTGTCAGTTCCAACTCATAGCGACCCTGTACAGGGTTTCCGAAGCTGTGAATCTTTACAGGAGCAGAAAGTCTCATCTTTCTCCCATGGAACAGCTGGTAGTTTCGAACTGCCGAACTTGAGGTTAGCAGCCCAATTCATAACCACTACACTACCAGAGCTCCTTAGTATGACCTTTATTTCGATGGACAAATAGAAATGTATACTGTGAGAGACAGGCTGGCCAAAATGAAGAGCTCTTCAACTGTTAGCACCTGTGTCCTTGAGTGAACTATGAGGGGAATCATGAAGACTTGTGGGGAGACAGGGGTGATTCTGGTTCTGCCTGATCTTCATTTCTCTTTCCAAGAAAGGCCAGGCTTAAGCCCCGCCGCTTCCAAGGGTCTTTTCATAATAAATGTTCAGTAATTCTCAAACTATTTGAACTCTTACTGGTTTTCACATAGCTTTAAAAACAGGATCCCTTTTCAAATAAAACTTACATACATGAAACCTCAGTATATAAATCAGATAAAAGCAGAATTTCAGTTCTGAAGCAGGAGGAGGTCCCAGAAGCCCCACCACTTCCAACAGAGTTTGGAAACTACAAATTATGTTCGTAGAAATAAAGGCCAGAAGTGTCACTGGCCTCCATTTTAATAACATTTTCATTCCTTCAAGCTTCAAAAAGCAACGCAGAGCTGGAAATAGCCTCAGAATTCCCATGGGTAGAAGAATATGAACTCCTTGACCAGATTCCAGAAATAGGGGGCTCCCTTAAAGAAGAAACCCTAGTGTTTCAGGGCAATGAAGATATCTTACACCCTAGGGGGTAAGGCTTATGCAGGCTGAACATAGAGATAGTGTGTTGAAACTTTAAATAAGCATAGTTTATAGACTCAAAGTAGGTTACAAAGGAAGACTGGAGATTGGAGGAGACAAGGTTTTGCAAGCAACTGACAGATGGAGCTTCTGTTAGAGAGCTGGGGGATGTGGGACAGGGCTTCTGGGGTAACTGTTCTGGTATTCCAAGTTCTCCTTAGCAAATTCTGAGGATACAGCACACTTGAGAGTCCAGCCTGCCACATTCAAATCCAGCTCTAGAAATTTCTAATTCTGAGATTCTGGGTACATTACCCCACCTCTCTATAATTTAGTGTCCTCCTCCTAAGGACAAAAAGGGACCTGCCTGATGGGGCTGATATGAGCATCACATAAGGTAACCCATGTGAAATCTACAACAGGCCCTGGCAAATAGTTTTAATAAATGTAAACTAATCCTAAGAGTTCAGGTGTGGCACTGTAGGATAAAGCACTGGCCCAAAAGGTCGGTTTGAACCACAAGGTCAGCAATTCAAACTCACCAGCTGCTCCTCGGAAACCCCATACAGGGTTGCTGTGAGTCAGCAATGGATCGATGGCACTTAACAACAACAACACGGATGGTTGCCGGAGTTATGTGGTTGTGGTGGTAGTGTGCTGTGGAGCCGGATCTGACTCACAGCAACCCTATATAGGGTTTCTGAGACTATAAATCTTTATGGGAGCAAAAAGCCTCATCTTTCTCCCATGGAATGGCTCCTGGTTTCAAACTGCTGATCTTGAGGTTACCAGCCTGACTCGTAACCACTACACTACCAGAGCTGCTTGCCAGATTAGGGTAAAATAAAGCCTTCTTAACTTAAGCATCCTATGAAGATTAAATGATATGATTCAAATGCTTTGCCCTCATGCCAAGTCTATTAAGTGAGCAATAGGATAGATTGGTGGGGGTGAGGAAATGCCATCAAGTGAATTCCAACTCACAGAAACCCTGTAGAAGGTTTCCAAGGAGTGGCTGGTGAGTTTGAACCACCAACCTTGTGGTTCAAACCGACCTCGCGGTCCAGTGCTTTAGCCTACAGCGCCACACCAGGACTCCATATACAAGGATTCAGAAAGTTGGTGTAAAAATGGAATTTAAAGATAATGGAAATGTTCCACAGAGTTTTTGCAACCCTTCCTGTCCCCACTTGTGTGTACCACCTTGGTACCCAGCACTCTCTCAGCACCTTACAGTTATCTGATGTTGTGGTTTTAGAAATCCCATTCTCTCAGTATAGAAACCAAGCCCCTGGCCTCCTTAGGGGCATCCCTGAGCTGCACTTGCATCTTCTCTAACCTGAGAGAGGTGCAGAGCGGGGCTGCTATGACCATACTAGGCCGTGGGTCCAGGCTCTCCTGGCTTCCTAGTGCTACTTCAAGAGAAGTATCACAAGGGTGTGACTTTCACAGATAGACATTTATTTTCTCACTGTTCTGGAGGCTAAAGTCCAGAGTCAGGGCACCCAGCTCTAGGAAAAGGCTCTTTCTTTGCCCACGCAAGAACGATGAGGCTTGTAGAAGAATTGATGCTTTTGAGTTATGATGTTGGAGGAGAATATTGAAAGTGCCATGGGCTGCCAAAAGCACAAACAGATTTGTGTTGGAAGAAGTGCAGCCAGAGTGCTCCTTGGAGGCCAAATGGCCAGACTTCGTCTCTCATACTTCGGACATATGGTCGGAGGGACCAGTCGCTGGAGAAGGACATCATGTTTGGTAAGGTGGAGGGTCATAGTAAAAGAGGAAGACCCCCAGCAAGATGGATTGGTAGAATGTCAACATCAGTGGGCTCAAGCATGGCAACAATTGTGAGGTTGGCCCAGGACCGGGCAATGTTTCATTCTGTTGCATAGGGTCACTGGCACCTAACAACAACAACACTACCGTATCCTCTTAGTGGTTCAAACCCACCCGTTATTCCTTGAAAATCCTATACAGGGTCACTTTATGTTGGTACCAACTTGACAGCACATAACAACAACAGCAAAGATTTACAGTTTAAAAACCCTAAGGATCAGTTTCAAAAACCGTAAGGTCAGCAGTTGTAAACTATCAGCTGCTCCATGGGATAGAGATGAGGCTTTCTGCTCCTGTCAAGATGTACAGCCTTGGAAACCCTATCCTGGGTCACCACGAGTCAGACTGACTGCACAGCACACCACCAGCCCCAAGTTTTCTTCTGCCCTAGAGGGGCATGATGAGTTGGGGTCAGCAGTGGGTTTGTTCTGTCTAATCTGCTCTTTTTAGATTTCAGAAGGGATTCTGTCTAAGACAAACCTTACACAGATAGGTCTCATTAACATAACACAGATTAATGGCTTACATTTACAGATAGAGGGGTGGAGATCGCAAAACCTATTTTGGTTTGTGGGGACACAGTTTAATCCCGTACAAAGCCGGCTGGCTCCGGCATACCAGTGCAGGAGGCTCCCTGAAATCTAACCAGATCCCTGTAACTGCTTCTGAAGCTCACTTCCTCTTTCTCTCCCTTTACTGTCTGAGTTCTCTGGTGCTGCTGTAACAGATACCACAAGTGGATGGCTTCAACAAGCAGACGTTTAGTCTTTCACAGTTTTGGAGGCTAGAGGTCCAAGTTCAGAGGACCATCTCTGGAGAAAATTTCTTGTCTCCTTTCCGCATGTATAGGCCCAGCATTCTTTGGAGCTCTCTCTGTGTCTTGGCATCAGTCTTTCCATGGAGTTCGAGCTTCACAGTGCAGGGATTCCAGGTCCAAAGGACATGCTTCACTCCTAGTTCTATGATCTTGCTGGAAGCAGGTCCCTCTCAGTTCTGTTTTTTTAATCTTTTTTAATACCACCAAAGAGATGACCTCATCCTGTAGACTGCATCTGGCTTCATTAACATCACAGAAATGAGGATTCACAACACATGGAATAATTCCATCAGCTGAGGGCTGATCACATCATGGGGGCTGGGATTGTATTATGTAAGATCTCATTAAGGAGAATTGCTACGTCTTAACTGCTAACCCATCGAGAATCCCTGACCAGCCAAGTCCCAAGTCGACACCAAACCTTACCTACCACAGGTACTCTGCAATCTTTCTCAGATTTATGTGCAAACTGTCTTTATTTCATCTCTGAGCCTTATGAAGCCCAGCCTCTGCTACCAGTCCGTAAAGGTTCACTTGTCCTCTGGGGTCTGTTCTTTATACTTCCATTGCTAGATTTCCTGTCAACAGGGAGGTCTCGTTCCCAAAATGCACCTTGCAAAGTGCTCCCTCATGCACGGTCCATGCCTAGCTTGTTCCTGTCTGTATCCCAAGTGCCTGGCATATGGCAGATGTACAGTAACTGCTAATTTAGTGAATGAGGGGGTGAGTGAGTGTGTTTCATATTCACATGAGCTGGGAACCAGGAAGCTCATCTTAAACTTGATAGTTGAGAAAATGTGTTCCTGGGATTGTCTTCTGGAAACATGCTAATAAAACTGGCCTTTTATACCACCTTCTAGGTATCCATTTTTATGCTATGATCTGCTATGATCATTCCAGAGATTTTTTTTCTTGCTGTCATTTATTTATTCATTCACTCCATAGATATTTGTCAGCTAGTGTGTGCATGTGCTGTGCCTGGAGATAGGGAAGCAAAGAGATCAGAGACTCTGACCCTGCTGCCTTGGAGTCCCTTTCGGTTTCCTGGAGAAGGCAGGCAAATGTACAGACAATGCAGGTGCTGTCATAGTGATGAGTTGGGTGCTCTGTAATCACATAACCCAGCCTGCAGGGAGCAAGGAAGGAGTGGTGTCTTAGTTAGGTCTCTCTAGAGAACCAGACCCGGTGATATGTACAAACACACACAGAGAGATTTGTTGTTAATTGCCATTGAGTTGGTTCTGACTCATAGTAACCCTGTATCAGGTTTCTGAGGCTGTCAATTTTTGCTGGAGTG